AGCCAGAAAGATCTTCAGAAGATGAGGACATCTCTGACAGGCCAGGTAAAAGGCCAAGTATGGGGAATAGCAGATGAGTAGTGACAGCTATATTTAGGCTATAGCACACAGAAGAAACTTGCTTGGGTTGCTTCTGGGAACTGGTGTGTATGGGGCCAAGGAGACTATGAGGAGTGGTTGTAGTAGTACTAAGAGAAGTGTTTGAGAAACAGGACAAGATTAAACCTGCACAGCGGGGTGGCATGGTCACACCTGAACCCCATGTGATCCTACTCTTTCTCTGCAGCAAGCTCAGAATTGGCCTCCAACGTCCCTGAGTTTCTTCAGGCCAAACAACTGGACCAGTTTCTTGAGCCAGCCCCATCATCTGGTGCTACAGTGTAAGATCCCATGACTCTATTACTTATAAGCCTCTTATAAAAGGGGCAGACACTAAGTTTGGCATTGGGTACCTTCATACATAGTCATCCTCCTCTCCACCAGAATGGTGATTACCCAGCCCAGTAGCCTGAGCTAGGCTGGTGGTGTACCACAAGAGCTTAATTGTCACTCTGGTGCCTGCCTCTGGGAGCTAAGAAAAATCTGAAAAAGTAACCTAGGTCAATATATAGTCAGAGAAGGCTTCCTAGAGGACTAGCAGAATTGGGACAGGAAGTGACAGATTCCTGAGGGGAGTAAATATTCATTCTCAGGTGTGAAAGTCATATGCTTGAGCAGGTGCCAGTGATATAAAGAAGCTAGAATAGAAAACTATCCCTGGTTCCACCAAAAAAAAAAAAAAAAAGTTAAGATTTTTGGGGCTGGGGAGACAGCTCAGTAGAATTAAGTGCTTGCCTGGCAAAGGCAAGGTCCTGAGTTCAATCCCTAGTTCTGCAAAAAAGAAAAAAGAAAACTAGACTGGAGGAAAAGAACCCCAGGAAAAGACCAACTCTGTATGGCCCTCTGACCCTACTGCCCCTCAGCAAATGATTGGAACTGCTGGTCCAAGGTGGCTAAGGAGCATATGGACCCTTTTTTTTTTTTTTTTTTTCTTTTTGCGGAACTGGGGATTGAACTCAGACCCTTACATTGGCCAGGCAAGCGCTTATTCTACTGAGCTATCTCCCCGGCCCCAATGGATCCAGTCTTAACAGGAACTAGCAACCCTTGAATAGGACCCTTTTATTTTTTTTATTTATTTATTTTTTTATTTTAACATTTAGTGTGTGTGTGTGTGTGTGTGTGTGGCCAGCTCAGCCCACCAGGGGGCGCGGCTGTCTGGCATGCAGTGCTGGGGGATTGAACCGTGGTCCCTGTGCTTTGCCAAGCTTGTTCCAAGTAGGTGCTTTAGACCACTGAGCCATCTCTCCAGCCCTAGGACCCTTTTCAAACAGCTGTTCATTCACCTCTGTCTACTCCTTCCCCCAGCTTGTCTTCAGAGCCTCAAGAGCCTGTGTTGGCCAGAACTCACCCCAGGCCCCGAACTGCTGTTCCTAGACCCCGTCAAGATCCTCATAAGGGTGGACTGAACCACTATACAAAACTCTTCAGCTTCTATGCTAAGATGCCTATGGAGAGGAAGGCTCTTGAGATGGTAGAAAAGTGGTGAGTCTTGGATACATGGGTGAGGAGAGGAGATGCTCAGGTCACAAATGGACTATTCAGTCTCTTCTACCCCAACCTTCTTGGCAGCCTGGATAAGTATTTACAGCACCTTTGCAATGACCTCGAAGTATTTGCTGCTCATGCAGGCCGCAAGACTGTGAAGCCAGAGGACCTAGAACTGCTGATGCGACGGTGAGCAGGCAAAAAAGGGAGGCTGGTGTGAGAGTGCTAGTGCTGATTCTGTTTACCCCTCTCTTCTGCTGCAGGCAGGGCCTGGTTACCGACCAAGTCTCATTGCATGTGCTTGTGGAGCGGCACCTGCCCCTGGAGTACCGGCAGCTGATCATCCCCTGTGCATTCAGTGGCAATTCTGTCTTCCCTGCCCAGTAGTGGCCAGGTGTTAATGCTTGCCTTTCCCCCACTTGGGACCTCTTACCCCACTAATCCTCTCAGTTCACCGCCTTACTTCCTACCATCAATAAAGTGTCACAAACAGAATATTCTGCTTTTTGGTACATGTCCTAAGGCCAGTCCAGATCGTTCCCCTCCCATTCCCCACCTGGCTCCCAGCACAGCATGGAAAATAACATGAGTTCATGCAAATAATTTTAGACTAAAAATTCAGTTAGCAGCGTTAGAGCACTCAGGCTGCCCATGGTAGTCTTAGCTTTCATACTCTGATTCTCGAGGCCCTGTCCGCTTGACATCAGTCATATAAAGCCGTTCCATTGCTGTCTGAAGCCTTGTTACAATGTTCTCATCCTCATCCTCTGGCATTTCCGACACAGGGATCTGGAAGGCCCAGCTCAGGTGGGTGTTGAGATTTTGCTTGTCCAAGGTAGGATCAATGGTCATCAGAGCTCTGCGCATCTTGGCAAGAGTTACATCCTCATAGCTGCCCCATAAGAAGAGAGAGACAGGTTTGAGCCCCCCGTCTACCTCAGACTATCATACCCTCCTATTTGTCAGGCTTGAGCAGTTTATAGTGTCGATGAGCATACAGAGACCCACAAAGAGATGCCACCCCTTGGGACTTGTCCAGACTGAAAGGGTTTTTTTCTTTTTTTGGAGGCCCGAAATGCCTTTAGGGCATTTCTGGTTTGCCGTGACTATCAGGTTTCGAACCACAGAAGCTTGAGTTTGAGCTCTTTGTTTCGGCAGGCACTTAAACAACTGAGCTATTGGGCAGGCCCCCGACTTGTCCAGACTGAGACTCATCATGACTGAGTGAGCCTATAAGCCTGGGGGTCACTTACAGTTCCAGGCCCAGCTCCTGCTTTAGTTCCTGTAGGTATTCATCCTTCTCAACCATGTACTGTTCCCACACCTTTTGCACAAAAGGTTCACTCTGGCCCTCCTCATTCTGGAAAGGGCCACAAGACAGGGTGAGGCTCCATGGACTAGGGTCCAGTCAAGGCAAGGACAGGGGCTGGGCTGGGTCCTGGGCCCCACACCCACCTCTGTAAATAATAAGCGGTAGTCAAACAAGTCCGCATTGCTGCTGTTGGGATGCCAGCCTGCTGCCTCCATCAACTCCTGAATATGTTCTTCCGTCTTGACTGGAAAAGTGTTCCTGAGGATGGTACTATGGAGACAAGAGAGGCAGCAGGGGTCCCCCTGAGGCTGCTCACCTATCTCCCCATCCTGTCCTCTGCCATCCCTACTGGTATTCAGTAGAAATTTTGAGCTTTGAAGCTGTGGCCCTTTGTACCAGGCCCCGCCTTTTCTCTGCATAGTTGGGAGGCTAGCCAGAGAAGTTGGACTAGAGTTTGGAGTAGCCTGGACTGGGCTCTCACCTGAGCTGTTCCATGGTTATCAGCCCCTCATTTTGACTGTCGGCATTTATCATCTCCTTCAGCAGTTGGGCTGTTGTCTCCTTTTGGTTGATATACACACTCTCTGTCAGCTACAGGGATGAAAGAATTTATTAACTAGCTGCTTCCTACACTGGTATGGGCAGAGCTGGGTTATGCTGGGAGACAAAGACCCATTCAGTCTACCCAACAAGCTGGGGTCAGTCTCAAGCTCACCTTTCCCATCAAGATTGCATAGAACTGGCTCATGACCTCATTGGAGCGAAAAAGCTTGATATTTTCGAAAATGGTATATGCCCAGGCTATGGCATCACTCGGCCCGAAGCGACGCTCCAGGAAATTGAAGAAGAAATCTGGAAACTTCTCCTTCTGCAGGGTATGGAAAAGGAGATACCCCATAATTGGGGTATTCTGCCCCATAATTGGCCCTTTCCCTGCTCCTAGAACTTTAAGAGCAGTGGTGGCAAATGTATGGCATGCATGCTACAGGGGCTGTTTGTATCGCTGAAAGCTCTACGAGGTTCATCCCTATTGCCCTAAAAGACTGATTCTGAAAGCCGCATTGGGCCAACATGACTGGTGAGAGCTGACCTGTTCTTCTGCAAGACGTTCCTTCCAGGCATCCTTGAGGAGATTTACCACATCTTTCTTGCTTGGTTTTTTATTTTGCACAGGGCCATCAAACCGAAGAAAAGGGGGAATTGCTTCCCCATAGCCCTGTAAGGCAAATATCAGCTCATGACTGAGCCCCTCTGGCTGTATCTCTAAAGAAGGGAGAGCCCCAGATGGTGCCCCCAAGAACCTCAAGTCTCAGTAGCAGGGTCTAACTTCAGACTTTGGCCCTAAGCCTCCCTTTCAGAGACTCCCCTACCAGACCAGGGAAAAAGTCTTTCTCCCGGAGCAGGCCCTCGCCAATCTCTTCCAGCAGCACATCCACCAGCTGGTCACTGTTCTTGCCCTCAGCCAGCACTTGCCAGCGATCCGGACCCCCAGCCACTATATCTGCAGATAGAGAAAGAAGGTTGGATACTAGCTCATGTCTTTCAATAAACCTTGAGGCCTGGATGGCCATCATTACCTCCGCACTTAGTCCAGTCAGGTCGTGGCGTGGATGTGCGCTGGATATCCTGCAGTTCGGAAGAGAACTGGTCCCTTTCCTTCAATGTGGTCATGTGCAACTGCAGCAATATTTCATGCTCCTTGCGAACCTCTTCATAGTCAGCTCTCAGGCTGTCCAGCTGTGGGCAAGGTGATTGGTCCTAGCTACCCACCTATATAACATTGCCCTACTCATGCCTTGCTTTGTCCACCCACTAGCACCTGCTCTTGAAGATCCTTATTGGTCTTTTCCTGCATTTCAAAGTCTCTCCTGGGTACCACATCTCCAAAGTTGGCCTTCATGGTGTTGAGTTCCATCTGCGTGCGTGTCAGATCTTGTCGAGTCATCTTCAAAGCCAGTGTTAGCTTCACAGGGTCTTCCCCCCAGACACCTGTCCAGAACACCACCAGTCTGTGTCACCCTGGCTCTCAGGCTTATGGCCCAAGGCTAATATAAATACCCCTTAGGGCATGCCTAAAGTTCTTCTGCCCTCTGGGATTCTCTAGGTCTTGTCCACAGTACTATCAGCCCTGGAGTTTTCCTAATGTAGAGAACCCCAGAACATGTGGTACCAGGCCACATGAACTTACAGGGCAGTCTCCGCTAGCAACAGTATTATTACTTAAAAGATCTTACAATTTTTTTTAGATCTTACAATTTTTGATCCAGTTCAGAAAATACACAGCCTCAGCTAGTAGTAGGGACATTTCCCAACATGTATGGCCACAGAATGAGCAGATGTTAGAAATGTTGAATGAACAGGGTAAGTGGTGAGAGCCAGACTTCTGTCTAGCACTTCAGAAAAGGAAACAAGCTTAATTTGGGGTACCTGGGGCCTGGGCTAGTGACATGTCCTCCCGCTGATACCGTAACTCATTTAGGTCTGCAATGAGGATCTTGCGGGCATCTCGCTCAGTGAGGTAGTGCAGGTACTCCTCAGCCAAGTTTTTCCTCAGCTTGGACACCTGCTAGGAAAGTAGCTGGTAGCCAGGGACTTTTTTTGGACCCCTGTATGCAGCTATTCACCACAGGGGTGAGATGGGTGTTGGGTGGTCCTCTCAGCCTAGGAATAGAAAAGTTGGAACCAGCTGTGCTGCATGCCTTTAATCATATCACTCTGGGAGGCTGAAGCAGGAGGATAGCAAGTTTGAGCCCAGGCTGGGTAACTTCTTTTTTAGGGGGGGTGGGGTGAGGGGAGGGAGGGTAACTCTTGTTTAGTGACAATTTATCTTAAAATAAAAGGCTGGATTACATACCTTAGTGTAAAGGGTTTGGGCTCAATTCTCAGAAACACACACACACACACACACACACACACACACACACACAGAAAGTGGCCATTCTGAGAGCCAGGAAGATACCTGTGGAGAAGGCTTCCTGAGACTTGGGGTCATACTGAGCCCCTCAGCAAAGCAGAAGGGTAGAAGTATTAGAGGGTCTGGGGGAAGGGCTGACTCAGGCAGAAGGGTGGGCAATGAGGTTGGGGTGCCCTCTGCTCAAGGAGGGGGACAGAGCAGGAATTCAGGAGCTTGGTCATCACATCACTTCCATTCACCTCACTCTGCAGTGAGATCTTCTCCTCATTCTTTTTGTCTATTAGTTTTAGCAGATTCATCTTTTCTTTCTTGAGCATGGCAATTTCATACTTCTCCTCAGCCCTCATGGCCAGGATCCTCTCGTTGCAGTCCTCACTCATTGTGATAAGCTTGGCCTTCAAGGGCTCCAGGGCCCTAATCTTCTCCCTTTGGTGGGCTAAGCAGAAACATGTAGGAGAGTCCTTTTGGAACCACGGAGAATAAACAGCCAAGAGGCACAGATCCTAAGTCCTAGATGAGTAGCTGTCACTTGCAAACACCAAGAGTCTGCTCACCTTGTTCAAAGTCCTGGCCCTTGCTTCAAGCCTTCCTGTTACTAGTTTTTAAAGAAGTGGCAGAATCCAACTAAGAGCCTCCTAAGTCTCTCCTATAGCCTTACCTCTACACCTTTAGTATGCATGCTGCCAAAGCAAGCACACTCCTACGCCAACTGCAACCTGCTTGAGCCTGGGGGGAGACCTTCCTCACTCTAGAGGTGTTCACTTCCCTGGGGTTCCCTCTGATTTCTATAGGTATTGCCATACTTTTCAAGGATGAGAGGGTCCTGTGATACCCTAGCACAGTGTATGTAAAAAATGATCTCAAAGCCCAGTTAGTACCTGCCTATCTCTTGCTGTAGAGCTCCAGAAAGGCAGTATAGGACCCTATCCAAATTCTTGGTAGACCCAGAAATGATGTGTTTTTTGACTTTTATTTTTTCCCATAGTAGGGGGTGAACCCAAGGCCTTTGGACTGTGCTACATTCCCAGTCCTTTTTTAAAATTTTTGTCTTGAGACAGGGTCTTGGTAAGTCACTAAGTTGCCCAGGTTAGGTTTGAACTTATGATCCTCCTGCTTCAACCTCCCAGGGTGTTGGGATTACTGGTAGGCACACCTTATGCAGGTGACTGGGAGCTGCGTTCTTACCCAGCATCA